AATGGCTTGTCTCTGTCATAAAGGACGCTCGTGATATTTTCGCTATTTAATTGAATGATCTCTTCCATTGAAGATTATCTCTCATATCATGGGGCTGTATTGCAACGCTTTTAGATGATAAAAGATCATAACATGATGACCGTTTATTTGTTATAAATAAACGGTCATCAAAATAAGAAATAACTATTTTAAATATATTAAATAGATACGATGCTAAGCAGTTGCGCCACCATCTAAAATAATGGTTTGCCCTGTTATATATTGGCTATTTTCCCCAATTAAAAACTCAACCACCTTAGCCACTTCTTCCGGCCGACCTAAACGACGCAGAGGTATATTTTTCTTCATTGCTTTTAATTTTTCTACAGGAATTGCTTCTGTCATATCACTTTCAATTAGACCGGGAGCAACGCAATTTACTCGAATACCAAAACGACCAACTTCGTGGGCGAGTGATCGTGCAACACCAAACATCGCTGATTTACTTGCCGCGTAAGCGGTTTGACCAATATTCCCTTTAAGCCCTGTAATTGAGGACATCAATACAATCGAACCATAGCCTTCTAATAGCATCGGCGGAACAAGATGACGATTCCAATTGATAATGGCAACCAAGTTTGTATTGATGACATCCAGCCAGACATCCGCATTTTGATGAATATGTAAAGCATCTCGTGCGATCCCCGCATTATGAATAATCGCGGTTGGTGGGCCGAATTCTTCAAGTAAAGACAGAGACAGTTCTTCAACCTGAACTTCATTCTTTCCATCACAAGCGTAGCCTCTTGCCCAAAATGGTGAGTCTATTTTCGCTGCTTCAGCCAAAGTATCCGAAAGCCCCGTTTCAGTACGTCCAGTGAAAATAACATTCCAGCTAGAAAGCAATTCCGTTACTAGCGAGCGCCCTATTCCACGGCTTCCACCCGTAATTAAAATCCATTTTTTTGACATGTTAAGACTCTTCTCCTGCTCAATAATGTTATCAGATGTCTTATTGTCAAATTAGGATTTCAATGAAAACTCTGCCAGTTATGAAACATAAACTCACCGCTTCATAATACCATGAGCTCACATAATATCTAAGCTAATCAAAATGGATATGTGCAGTGTTAAACGTCAATCAACATCTTCTTCTAGATCTTGCAATCACAGATCATTCATTAATTTTTACGTAAATTTTTGATATTCGCCATTTTTAATTCCTTTTATTGGTTTATACAATATCAATTTATTTTTAATGTGAAAAAAAGTACTCATTATTTGTTTTTGATCAGCAACCCATTAATCAATAGAAGTAATCCATTGTTAAGCACCGGTGACTATTGATGGCTGATATAAATATGAAGTGGGGGAGTCCATTACGTTTAAACTTTTCTGAATGTAATAAAGAAATTTCATCAAATATAAGCCTTGATGAGTCTGTATTACTTGAATACGATAAATATATCTCTCAATGATGCTGAATCCAGATAAATATTCAACAACATTATCTTGCTTAACAATAGGTTACTAATTTAACACATTGAAAAATGACTGCATCGAAAAAGACCCAAAGTTGGCATTTCTTTAAATATTGAAGAAAATAATTTTTGCTGTTCAAATAAATCCTCTAATGTATTTTCTAATTTCATGTTTATGACATTATAATTTTCAATAGATGATAAATTACAAGTCAAACAACGTTGCTTATCTTCCATTAAGATTGCAGATGCGCCTATTCGGTTTCCCTCAACCACTTGATAATCAACATCATTCCAAAGAGGATTTCGTATGCGAATGGCACATTTAATATAATGATCTTGTGGCTGTAAGATAGCGCTAATCTGAGTATCTGCAAATTTTTTCAGATCTAATAAAGCGCGCATGCCATGTACACTTAATTTTTCCCCGCCACGCGCTTGCACCCACGATAAGTCAAAGTGGATCGGATTATAGTCACCCGAAAAATTCGCCCATTCATGAGCTTCTTTTAAACTATATCTCAAAATATTCATTGCGCTTTTTCCAAAATTAACGCTGCATTAGCGCCACCAAATCCAAAGCTTAAATTTAATGCACGAGAAATATTCTGAACACGATGTTCATTTGGAATATAATCTAAATCACAAAGTGGATCGTGATTCTGTAAATTGATTGTTGCTGGCATTATTCCTTCTTGAAGAGCTTGTAGACAAACGATGGTCTCAAAGCTACCCGCTGCTGCAATTAAATGCCCTGAGTAAGATTTTGTGCTAGAAATTGGAATGCTATAAGCGCTATCACCCAATGCTTTTTTTAATGCTTCAGTTTCATTAAGATCATTTAATTGCGTCGATGTACCATGCGCATTAATGTAATCTAGTTGGTTTGGTTGAATATCGGCTTGATGTAACGCCATTTTGATTGCTTGAATTCGCGCAACGCAATCCTCTGCTGGCGATGTAAAATCAAAAGCATCAGAATAATTAGCGTATCCCGTTATCTCACCAAGGATCATCGCCCCCCGAGCTATCGCACTCTCTCGTTCTTCAAGGCATAACACCGCGGCACCTTCTGAAAGCACGAAGCCACTTCTATCTAAGCTGAATGGGCAGCTTGCTTTATGAATATCTTGGGCTTCGTGGGTCAAAGCGCC